ATGATGCCATTCCTTGAGACAGGTAATTCAAGAGTGGGAGCAGCAGACTGCCTGGGGTTGGTTAGGGTTAGGAGTCAGTAGAACCCTGTGCAGGCCACATAGTTGGTGCTGAGTAAGTATTTGTTTCAGGAGAATGCCAGATGGAGATATCTTGAAAGTGGCTGAATACAGAAGTCTGTAGCTGATGGAGAAGAAAGGAAGGGCTGGAGATTAGATTATTGGGTGTGGATGAGAGTGCCCAGGGAGAATTTGTAGGGTGAGAAGGGGACTGACTTGTTATCCCTGGGCAGCATCTATATTAAAAGATTTACAAAGGAGAGATAAAGAGAGGCTAAAGGTGTTGCCAGGAAACCAGTCTCTCAAACCTAAATGAAGCAAACATGTCAGAAAGACAGGGAGGGTACACAGGAAGCTCCAGTTTACACAGAGGGCTCAGCAGTCTAGTAGCCCAGGGAGGATGTCTTAAGCAGGGGTGTGGATGGGAGCGGTCCTCACATATGGCATCCTGGGCCATGGAAAGAGACTCAGAGTTCCACAACCTGTCTCCTCATTAAGATTTTCCAATTTTTAAAATGGTATTTTGTCTTTTCTGATTCTAAAAATAATCCATGCTTATTGTAGAAAATATATAAAATACAAAACAGTTCAACAACAAAAAAATAAAATGGCTACTGCTTGCTTCTGTCCAAGATCCAGGCTCTCCTAAGACTTGCTTGTACCTGGGGCTAAACTTCCACACAGTTTGAACCTCGTCATTCTCTTTTCAGCACCATATCTTCCTAAGTGATTGCTCAGGGTAGTACAGACAGGACAAACACTGGAAAACAAATAATTTGATAAACTATAAACTAATACGCTCTGAGTACGAGTGGTCGCATGGAGGGTGACACCATTGGTAATCAATCAGCCCCAAGACCCATTGGCACACTCATTCACAAGCACACAGCCTTGTCCAGGGCCCTGTGGACACACACATTCACAAGCACACAGCCTTGTCCTGGCCCCATAGGCACACACACTCACATGCACACAGCCTTGTCCAGGGCGTTGTGGGCACACACATTCACAGGCACACAGCCTTGTCCTGGCTAAGCATGATCTAATACACTTCTCTTTTACAGTGATGGGGTAAGAGCCAGGAGAACTATGCTTATGAGCAGTCATTCTAGCCACATCCCTCCTCAGTAACTCGTGTATTTATTAAACAGTGGGATACAGGGGTCTGCCTGCCACCATTTTGTAGCCCCTCTCATGAGAGGGGAGCAAAGTGTGCACCTTTGATAGGGTTGTTGGAACAAATCAGCACAGACACAAGCTCATCAGCTCAAGGTTCTGTAGGTCAGTAGTCCAGGTTGGCTCAACTGGATTCTCTGACCTGGTTCTCACTGGCCAAAATCGAGGTGTTGATTGACTGGGTTTCATAAAGGAGTTTGAGGAAGAATCCGCTTCCACGCCAACTCAGGTTGTTGGCAGAATCCAGTTCCTCACAGTGTGGGACTGAGGTCCCTGTTTTCTCCTTGGCTGACAGCTGGGGACAACCTTGATTCCTAGAGGTCTCTCTTTGGCCCTTGCAAGTGAGTGCCTATATCTCAGTCAGCAATGGTGAGTGACATCCTTCTCACACTTGGAGCCTTCCTGACTTTACCTGGGTGTCTCAAGACTCTTCTGCCTTATCTTCTGCTGTATCTCTCTAACTCCAAGCAAAGAAATTTATCTTCTTTTAAGGGTAGATGAGTTGGACTCACCCAAATAACCAAATGGAATATGCCTATTTTAAGGTTACCTTAATTATACCTGCAAAGTCTCTTTTGCATGTAAGATAACATAGGACAGCTTCTGGGCATGGTTGCATGGGCATTTAGAGGGGTGGGGAAATTGTCAGCCAACCACACAGAGTGATGGCAGGAATGAGTTGATTTGTATGATTCCTCTCTTCCTGTCTTTTTGCCCTTTTCTCTCACACAGGTCCAGTATTGATTCTTCTTACTATAACTCTTTTCACCCTTAGCAGGTTAGAAAGCAGGAGTATTCACCCTCCACTTCAAAAGTGTCTGTAATGTTCATCCAGCTGCGTCTTGATCCACAGGTTGCTTCACATAGTTCTGTACATTTGTTTGTGAAGCCCACTTATTTGATGTGCATCATGATTCTGACTATCACAGTTGTCTCTTTCCTTACACTTGTTACATTCAATGGGTCACAGTGATATTTTCCTTCTGAATTTTGTTTCCTGGTGACCTATCCAAACGCTAGCTGTTTTATGAGCCCACTGAGCTATTCTGTGAACTTACTTCAGGATTTGTGGCAAACCCTTGCCTACCATGTTCATTTTAAAAATGGCAAGATACTTCAGTAATAGTCCTGATTAGAGAATGCTTGTACGGCAGGGTGAGTCATCTTCACTCAGACATCGGGCTTACTTCAGATTCCCCATTAAACTGCACATGGCTCATTAAACCCCATTGGCTAGAAAAGTGGGTCTTTGTGCAATGTTTATGTTCTGTGCTAATGTTAAATTTAGAACATTTCTGATGCAGATGCCTTTGGGGAAATTTGTAAAGCACTAGCTAATGTGTCAGCAGATTTCATCTCTTAAGTTCACAAATAAGGTACCTGGAAAACAGCCCCCCCAGACCCCCTAATTCATTCCCAGGTTTCTTGCTATCCAATCTTTATATATCTTATTTATTTTTCTATAATGTCAAACCTCATGATCTTCTGATTACCTTTTTTTTCTACTCTGTTATCTTTTTAAAAAAAAAATAATTCTTTATTGTTGGAAGTATACATATGCCTTCAGCACCCTATTGTCTGTGTCCATGGGTTATGCATATATGCATACAAAGTCTGTGGTTGATTACTTCCCACCCATCCACCCTCCCTCCCCGGCTTACCCTCTGAGATTCTGCACTCTGTTCCACTCTGTTCATCAGTTTATTTTATTACTTAGATTCCACATATAAGTGAGATCATTTGATACTTGCCTTTCTCTGACTGACTTATTTCACTTAGCATGATACTCTCCAGATCCCTACATGCCATCTCAAAGGGTAAGATAGTCTTCTTTTTTACTGCTGCATAGTATTCCTGTGTTGGGACAAGTGTCACACATACTGGTTACCACAGAGAGTGCTGCCCTAACTCTCTGTAGTTCCAGCCTTTTATTTCCAGCTTTCTAATTTAAATTTCCACTTAAAATTCCACCTGGCTATTTAAGTCTGTATGTCTGAAACCAAGATTATAGGATAGCCCTGTCTACAAACTAATTTCTCTTATGCAGCTCCATGTACCTATTGCCCAGGATTGAAACCCAGAGTCACTCTTTGTTGTCTCTCAAGCACCAAGAACCAATTCTCCATCCCAAATATGTTGGGGGTATTGTGTCCTGTGATTTACCCTCCCTGATATTACTTTTTATTCACTCACTCATTGAAGGAGCCCTATATTCTAGCACTGTGCTAAGGGCTAGTGATGCACAGAAAAGCTGATAAATAAGTCAAGCGCAAAGCCCTGTGGTCACTGATCTCTCAGAAGTCAGGATGGTGTATATACAGGAGTTTGGGAGCTTGAATTGAGGACTCTTCCTGTTTTGGTTCAGCTCATTTCATGCTGGTACATTTGGAAAAGCCTCTGGCCACAAAGCCATTCTGTTCCTTGCCTTGCTGCCTGTGTTTACTTATAAAGTTTGGATCAGATAATGTCACCTGTGACTAAAACACTTCCTTGGCTCCCCATGACACAGGACAAGCACAGATTTCTTGACCCACTTACAAACTCAGCCTTTCCATAGCACTCTTTTATGTAACACAGTTATAACATCACAGTCCATGAAATAGGAAAGGAAAGAAAAGAAATTAAAATGCCTACTCTGCTTTAAAATTTACCATCAGTATCATTTTCAATCACACTCTTTCCCCTTTTGGCAATCAGCTCAATTGATCATTTTCCTAATGATTGCTGTTCATACTTTGCATAACGGTTTCATATAGCAAGACACGGAGCAGTTCTGGTGAACACGGATAATCAGTGTGTGATTAGTTACTGTGCTCACACACACTCCATACAATTCTGTGGCATATGGCACCATGCAGCAGACCAGCAGAAGCAAGGCCTTAGACCTTGCTCTTAGGAATATTGAATTCATCTTTACAGATGAGTATGATCTCAGGAGAGAATGAGAGCCAGGTGTTGACTATCTCTCCCTTCACAGAAGCAGACCATGCGAATATATTCATTTATTCATTCAGTCACTTAGTCATTCATGCATCAAATACTTACTGAGCATTTGCCAAGTACCTTGTGTTGCAAAGATGGGTCCTATCCTCAGGGAACTCACAGTCTCTTCTTCATAAGTTCTGTGATTGGATCCAAGTGCCAAGATCAAAACGGAGTGAGCCAGGTTTCAGGGGCCAGGGGACTGGGGAAACAAACACTTGAGAGGCTTTAAAAGATTGAATAAAGTTTTTTTGTTTTGTTTTGTTTGTGTAGCAAGAATATGTATGTTTGTATATGTATTTCAGAAATGAGTGTGTGTGTGTGTGTGTGTGTGTGTGTGTGTGTGTGTCGGGGGCGGGGGGCGGGATAGGGGAAGGGAATGGCGGGGGAGGGATGGTAGCACATGGATGGGGAAAAATGCTGCCCTGGTAAAGTAAACCCAAATGCAAAGGTAGTTAAAAATCTACACAATTACCTTGCAGGGAAATTATGGTAAGTTCAGTGTGGCTTGATAGAAACAGCAAAGCATAGGCAGGCAGGGGCAACAGAGGGAAATGCTGGAAGGTAAATGGTGCAGATGATAGAAGACTATCAAGGAGTGGTGGGTCCCAGAGAGGTCTATTGGCAGGGGCATCACCAATCAGATTATTTTTGAATGAAGGTCAACTGTGGGTATAGAGGACGGATTTGAGATGAGCACTTAATGAATGCTTTTCTGAGGTGACCACAACTAAGTGCATGGTAGTCCCAGCTAACTCTGCCTATTTGTGTGTGCTTTGTCCTAGTGACAGTGCTGGCCATCTTCCATGAGCTGCATGTGGACCCTGACCTGTACACACTCTTGTTTGGGGAGAGTGTGTTGAATGATGCAGTGGCCATAGTGCTAACATAGTAAGTACTGAGATTTGGCCCATGTTTCTCTGATGATGTGAAATGCGCTTCCACTTGAAGATAATTCCTGGTGGCTTTAATAGTTATCTTTTGTGTTATGTTGTAGAGATACAGGCAATTTCTAGCTTTCAAGGAATTGTTACAACAGGAAATCTCCAAAATTGGGTATAATTCACTAGGCACCTAATGTCTAACTCTGTTAATGGGTTTCATGTTTCCAGCCTATTATGATGTACTAGGGAGAGGTTAACATTTATTTATTTTTTCTCAATGCATATATTTAGCTGATTCATGTGGGGTTCCTGAAATGCACATAAATTAGCTTTCTTCATTTCAAATCAATATCATTTATTTTTTTCCTTATACAAGTCATTTTATAGATAATAGACTAATGGAAACCATTGTATTTATAGTAAATTTGGCAAACTGGAGTTAGAACCTGAGAGTCAGAATACTCTTCATTTCTTGATGCAGATGTGATGTGTTAGAGCAGTGGTCGGGCAAACTGCAGCTCGCGAGCCACATGCGGCTCTGTGGCCCCTTGAGGGTGGCTCTTCCACAAAATACCACGTGCGGGCACGTATGTACAGTGCAATTGAAACTTCGTGGCCCATGTGCAGAAGTCGGTATTTTGTGGAAGAGCCACACTCAAGGGGCCAAAGAGCCGCATGTGGCTCGTGAGCCACAGTTTGCTGACCACTGTGTTAGAGGAACCACACATATTTAGGTCCTCAGGACAAGGGAGATGGACAGCTGCAGTTAAGAGCTCCTGCAAGGCTTCCTTAGTCCTGTCCTGCAAGAATTTTCTTTCTGAGATGAGAGCCAGTGCTCCCTCATCTCCTCTTTATACACCACTTATATTTAATACTAGGGGCCCAGTGCACGAATTTGTGCACCTTGAAAGGCACTGTGGGCCTTGAGGTTGCCATGGGCACAGGGGCAAGTCTTGGCCCATCCTCTGTGCCCCCGCTGGGCCCCTCCCACCACGGTCCCCCCAGTCCCCTGTCTGCCAGCAGCCCTGTTCCAACCACTGCCACTCCCACGCATTGACGGCACCAGCCCTGCTCCCACCTGGTGATGGTGTGGAGCAATTGGGGCCGGCACCAGCAGCGGGTGAGAGTGGGGCCAGCGCCCTCAGTGGGTGAGAGTGGCGGCTACTTCCCTGTTCACCCCTCAGGATCAGGGGGAGGTGGAGAAGCCCTGAGGGGTGATCTGGGCCAGCAGCTGCCTCTCACACCTGCTGATGGCTCTGAGCAATTGGGACTGGCGCCGAGTGCCGGCAGCAAGTGCAAGCGGTGGCTCCAGCACTGGCTGTGGGTGTGAGCGGGGCTGGTGCTGACAGCAGGTGGGAGTGCCCGGCAGGACCACGGTGCGCAGGAGCAAATAATTTTTAGTAACCACCAAAGGCTCACCCTGATGACAGCGACCGGTGCCCCACCTTGGTCTGGCCCCCCACTCACTTGCTCCACCATCCCGCCACGGCCGATGCCCATCATGTTCCGCACTCTGACACCTGCTGCCGATGCCTGCTATGTTCTGCGCACGCCCCCTGGTGGTCAGCGCACGTCATAGCAACCGGTTGTTAGGTTATTTGTTTTTTCCACCATTCGGTCTATTTGCATATTAGGGTGATGATAGATAGATAGATAGATAGATAGATAGATAGATAGATAGATAATGCCATTTTCACTGAGTCAGGGGTCTCTTCTTGATTTTAGATTAAGACCAACATTTTGGGCAACTGTCAAATAACCAAAGGAAAGGAACCATCTGATAAGTAAATGCGACAACAGGATTGATTTAAGATGTTTATTACTTCAAATACATTTAGAAAAGTACTGTGAAGTAACAAAGGACTTTTAGAAGTGAGATCTTAAGAGTAGAGGAGCTGGGGTGGGGGGAGCACTGCTCTTCCTGCCAGCTGACCTTTCTTAAAGATGCCACCTGGAATCACCACAGAACTCAGCAAATTTCAAGCAAAAGTAAACTTATATTTCACCTGACCACAGAAAACTGCCTTTTCTGCATTAAAAGAAAATGTTGGTGAGAGCAAATTAAAAGCAAAAGCCATGGCAGACTCACAAATGCTGAAGGATGCTTTCAAAGAAATACCAAGGAAATTAATTAGGACATATGGAATCCCTGCCCAAGAAATACAGATATTAAAAGACCATTTAAAAAAATTTTTAAAAATCTGCCAAGTCCCTCATTTTCACTTTCTGAGCTGCCAATCTGTAAAGGGCCAAGCCAAGAACAAAACCAATAAAGCACAAATGAACTAGGAAAGATCCATTTAGCCACAGCCCAAGGAACGATGGGCCTTTCCAGGGCAGCACTTCCATTCACAGTAGTTTCATTAAAAATGCAGACTCCAGGCCCTGGCCAGTGTTTCTCAGTGGATAGAGCATTGGCCCACGCACTGAAGGGTGGCAGGTTTGATTACTGTCAAGAGCATGTACCTGAGTTGCAGGTTCCATACCCGGCCCTGATTGGGACACTTGTGGGAGGCAGCCAATCGATGTGTCTCTCTCACATTGATGTTTCTCTCTCTCTCTCCTCCTCTTCCTCTCTCCTCACTCCCTTCCACTCTCTCTAAAAATCAACGGAAAAAAATGTCCTCGGGTGAGGATAACAAAAAAGAAAAGTTACACTCCAGGATGAAGATTGATGTTCATTGAGCACAGGCCTGTGGGCTTTAAACAGTCTATTTGTTTGGCGTTGCCTCAGGTCCACATGCAGTTATCACTGGAGGTGCCTCTCCTGTGCCCCTCCCTCCCCATGCCAGATCTCCGCCTTCAAGGCAGGAGAGCTTGCCATACTCACTGAAATCGTGTGCTCCCCACTTGGGCAATTCAGTTATTGTGCAGAGTGACTCTAATGAGCTTCATTATTTACAATAAAGATGATCAGGAACACCTGACACACCCAGGAACATCTACAGGATCAAATCTGCAACCTCTTTCTTCTGCCTGGTGTGTTTGGATCCCACCAGAGCCTCTCATACTCTACTGAGTGGATGGGCCTGCTGTGCTGGGTCTGGGCTGTCTATCCAACAGGGCCTCCACCTTTCACAGTTTTCCATGTTTTGTACTCTACTTTTCTCGCTCACTAGCTTCTTTAACTTAGTTTATAGCACATGATAATTTTTATACATTATTTACACATGCATATTTCCTCTCCATTTAATGCCCCATCCCTACACTCTTTCTATTATCTATTTTCTAGTTCCCTTAGAAAAACCCTATTTAAAAATCATTTAAAAGTTTTCCATGATTTTCAGACTAGAAGTTCAAATATTTTATCTCTCCACTTTTCTCTCTCTTCACACTAAACCATGCACAGCACCCTGTCACATTCTCTGGCTGGTACCTTCATGCCTTTGCACACACAGCATCACTTCTCCCAGCATCTCTTTCTGCCTCATTGTCTTTCACCACTTACAACCAGCTCCTTCTTGAGAACCCAATGGCCCACATGCGGGGAGCCACTACCTTACCGTGCCCTGTACTTCATCAGTTACCTCCCTGAAAAATGTTGCAACCTTGGGTTTACATGGATATTTGTTGTTGTAGATAGTAACTTTTTAAACACTGTTTATGTATTTAAAATAAATATTAAAGAACAAATGAAAACCTCTTTTGTATTTTCCCCTTTTAGTTACACATTTGTGGGGGGACGGGGGTTTTGTTCTTTTTAGGAATAGTGATAGAGCTCTTCTTGTACCTGAAAAAGAAAAGTTATATGTTTGGATGTGAAATCAAGTATAATAAGAACCCAAATCATTGGCCACTATGGCTCTTAGTGCCTCCAGAGACCCTTTGGAATGGCCATACTTTCATTCACTTTCCCATTGTGGGAACCATACCAGGGTCCCCGGATAGTCAAGGCCAATGGGAGCACAGAGACCTTGTTGTCAATACACCAGAATAGCCAAGGCTTCTCTGAGCATGAGCTAATCAGGGTGCCCAAGACCAAGATACCATGAGCCCGTGCAAGGACACACGGTACACTGTGCCCGTCTGTAGACAAAATATGATTGATGTCACTGTTGGCAACTAGCCTTCTTAGTCTCTAGAATAATATACAAGTTAGGCTGGCCAGAGGAGTGTGAAGCAGCAGAGGCAGCAGGCACAGAGAATGTAGCTCACATGTGTGCAGGACACAGGAGAGCTCAGACGGAGCTGAGAGCTGGTACTGCTACGATGTAAGTCTAAGAGCTCATAGAGAGCTCAGATATAGTTACCATGTTAACCAGCCAGTGTGCTGGGCAGGAGAGACAGGAGAAGCTGCTGAGCTAGAGTGGCTGGACAGGCTACTGAGGCTGTAGCTCTAAAGCAGAGCTCAGGTACTACTGCTTTGTAAAGCTAGGGGTCTAGAGCAGTGATGGCGAACCTTTTGAGCTCGGCGTGTCAGCATTTTGAAAAACCCTAACTTAACTCTGGTGCCGTGTCACATATAGAAATTTTTTGATATTTGCAACCATAGTAAAACAAAGACTTATATTTTTGATATTTATTTTATATATTTAAATGCCATTTAACAAAGAAAAATCAACCAAAAAAAATGAGTTCGCCTGTCACCTCTGACACGCGTGTCATAGGTTCGCCATCACTGGTCTAGAGGCAGCATGAGGCTGCTCAGGTAATAACTGTGGATATAGAGACTGATGCTGCTTTATGGGCAAGGTATGTATTTACCAACTAGTGTCTGTCTGCCTGCCTGTATGGACTTTGCTGTGAAGAATTGTCTTGTCTAATAGCTATGTGGCCACTGGCTTCTGCAATAAGGACTCATTTTTATACAACCACAACCTCTCATGGCTTCTCCATCTATGACCCGGTATCCAAGGAGGTCCAGCCCCAGGCAGAGGGGCTCAGACCCAACACTAGTGAACAGAGAATAAAGGAAGAACTTGGAATAAGTTTCCAACAGTTAGTACAGTGGGCAGGGTTTGAGGAAGGACCTGCCCTGGCATAGTTGGGAGAATTTAGAAGAATATA